CCCACCAGGATTTCAGCACTTCCCCTTGATACTTATATATAAATTTTGGAATCAGTTTATTAAATTGCAAAATAGAAATTAAAGCTACAACTTATAGGGATTTTTGTTTAACCGGATTTATAAACCTTTTTGGGCATAAGTGACCAGTATCTTTGTGTTACTGAATCTTCTAACCCCTTCACAAAGGATGTGTTGTGCCTTGAGTTGATTCCAACTTATCAAGTGGCCCCATATGACTGAATTGAACTGCCCTGTGGGGCTTTCTTTTTCCCTTGCAGAGGTGGGGTTCAAAGTGCCACCCTTTTAGTTAGAACCTGAGCACTCCTAGGGCTCCTTTGATCAAAATATATCTTTCCATTTAAGTATTTCTTCCAATAAACTTATTGCCTATTAAAGGTCACCATGCAAATAAATCCCCTTATTTTAATCCTGCTGGTTATTATTTTTCATATGAACTATGTCAAAGGGTGCATATATTTATTACCACTGGGAATTAAATAGTTGCTAATTGATAGTTATACAAGGGAGCTTCAAAAAGCTCATGGAAAAATTGACTATCTTTTAATCCATTTTTGTACCAACTTCTTGGAGTCCTATAATATTTCCCATTAGCATTCAGGTTGAAATTGTTTTAAAAAATTATTTTATTGAGGACTCTTACAGCTCTTATCACAATCCATACATACACCCATTGTGTCAAGCACATTTGTACATATGTTACCATCATTTCCAAAACATTTTCTTTCTACTTGAGCCCTTGATAGCAGCTCCTCATTTCCCCCCTCCACCTTTCCTCCCTCATGAACCCGTGATAATTTATAAATTTTTAAAAAAATTTTAATCTGCTTGTAATTTAATACTCCAGACCCCTACCAAAAGAGATTAGGCTGATTGGGAAAACCTATTCCTTTGTCAGCTTTTTCTTAGTGCTGACATTTGTAATGCTACCATCTTTGAAACTTAGAGAGTAGCGGTGTCTTTGTAAGAAACCGATCTGTTCTGTGTGTGAATAAAATGGGAGCTTAATTTAGGACTGAGGGGTCAGTTCCTAAATATTGAGAATTCACAGAGATAAATGCTACTTTTCTATGGCTTGGTTGGACTGCCTGCCAACCCCCTGCAGCAATATTCTTTTGTGGTTTCACAAAATCAAATTGTAATGCTGCTGGTTATAGATGTTATTTTAGGGATGTTTTTGCATATTCATACATATCATGCATCTGGAAGAATAATAAAAACAAATTGAATGGGGGGTTAGCTTCAGGTTAGGTATGCCAGTGATGGGATTTTTAAGAAAAGCGTCTGCATTACCATAATCGGTGTGTGTTCCCTCTGTGTGCACACTAATGTTTACAGAGAGCGACTGCTCAGAGCAGCTAGCAATCTGATTAGAAGGCTGTCACACTCAAAAGACATGTAACTGAAGTAAAAACACTGTGGTTAGGGAGTTGTAATGAATCCATTGCTGTTGGCTACAGGCATACTTCAGGTATTGTGAGTTCAGGTCTGCATCACCCCAAAAAAATGAGTGTTGCAGTAAAGCAGTCACATGAATTTTTTTGGTATCCTAGTGCATAAAATGCTATGTTTACACTCTTCTATAATCTGTAAATTTGCAATATTTGTGAAAATGGATATTGAGGGACTTGCTGAATGTGACATAGAGAAGTGAGCACATGTGTTTGGAAAATGAAACCAATAGATTGATTGAAGTAACCCCAGACCTTCATTTTTTTTTTCAAGCCAGTATCAGTGAAGCATAGAAAGTAAGGTATGCCTATGTAAGTGCTGAGGGAAATTGGAATATAGAGTGATATGAGCTCAAAATAGTGAATCAACTTACCCTTTCTCTCACTTTTGATTTGTAATTTATGTAATTGTTAACATTTGTTTTACTCTCTAGACTGAAAATTCTGTGAATGTCTTGCTCACTCCCTGCATCTGCATAGTGGTCTGTATGTATAAAATGCTTTACAAGTACAAGTTTGTATTACTTCGTCTCCAGGATACATTCTGTGAAATAGTTATGTCCTTTATTATGGACCTCTGTATCTATAGGGTGGGGGAGAGGGTTGTTATAGGATACTGTGTGGTGGGTGTGCCCCACCAGCTCCCACTGCTAATGCCTCAGGCCAGCCTTTGGGAGCCTGGCTATCATACCTTCTTTTACTAAGCCAGCCAGAGGGAAGGTCACCTTGTCTGTCAGACCAGCCAAGGGAGGGGATGGTGCTCACCATGGAAGCGAAAGACAACTGAGCCATGGCTTCTGGGTACATACCTTTCCGTTGGCACTATGATGGGGCCACACTAAGCAAAACACAAGGATTAGACCCACTGAGTCTCAGGATCCAAAGGGGGCTCAGATTGAGAATCTGGGTTACGCTTCTGTCACTGCAGACTAAGTAGCTTCTAAGCAGCTCATAGCCAGGCAGAGGTAGGCCTCCAATTCTCAAGATAAGGTCTGATGTGCTGGCACTCAAGACACCTGGGTACCCCAGCTCATAAATGTGTATGTGATGGGACTTAGGTGCTGTGGGGCATGAGACATCCGGAACAGATGTTATGTGACGCATTACCGTAGCTGACTTTAGTTGAATAAGTGAGTTAAATGGGTCTTGAAAGCTTTTGAAGGATGGAGCAGATGACTACTATGTTGAATTTGTGTCTATTTTCTATAAGGAGCCCTGGCGGTACGGTGAGTTTAAACAGTGCATTAAAAACTACAAGGTCAGCGGCTCAAAACCACCAAATCCAAAGGAGTAAGATGAGGCTGTCTGTTCCTAGAAAGATTATAGACTCAGAAGCCCTACAAAGATCACTATGAGTTTTAAGTAACTTAATAACATTGGGTTTGGTTTTTGGTGTTTTCTTTACCTCACAACTCTGTGAAAGAAGAATGTTTCTAATTTAAAATGCAAGGAACAATTTCAGATGGGATAGTATTAGAATCCAGGTTTATACTGTTCCCACAAAGGCTTGAGCAAAGCTTTGAAAAATGAACAAAAACAAAAATGAATTTATGATTAGTCAGGTAAATATGAGGCAGTAGCAGAAAATAAATTGAGTTAACTTATTGAAAGTGTACAAACAGCTTTGAGGAGTTGAAATTTTATCTTGAAGATGATGAGATAGGGAACTCAAAGTTTTTGCGTGTAATCAAATAATTGTGTTAGAAAACAGGCTGTTTTGAGAAGGCTACTGTTAGTTGGATTCGGCTCAGTGGCAGTGGGGTTTTAGTTCTGATGGGAGAGAATTGGTTGAACTAAGACAACACCCAAAACAAAACAAACTCGCTGCCTTCAAGTTTATTCCAGCCCTTATGGACCCTATAGGGCACCATAGAATGGCCCCTGTTACAGGAGTAGAAAGCCTCCTTTTTCTCCTTGCAAGGCAGCAGCAATCATGATATTGGAAAAGGAAGGAAAGATTTGTAATAATTCACAGATTTGAATCGCTATACAGGTTGACTAGGAGACTCTCAATACAAATTGGAAATTAAGCTGAAGAAACCGATTTTAGGAAGGGTTGACTTTACATTTTATAGTGGAAATAATATAAAAATTCACTGGAAATGTTATTCATTGATTGGAAATTAGGGAATGAATGTTGAGAGATGAGGACTAGCAGGGAGGTGTTTTTTAGGGGTTAGTAGGGAATTGGTATTCTTGACTTCCTTCAGAGCTGCTTTAAGGAATAGAGCTCCAGGAACTTAACATGTATTTTCATGGTAAATACATTTCTGAGTTCTTGTGGTGCATACTCTAGCAGTCTTTTTCTCCTGATGCTTTCTTTACCTTTGTAACTTGTTTGGTCTCAGAAAAGGAAACATACATTTTGTCTCACACTTTTTATTAACCCAGGAGATATACTTGGATTTGTTTGCCAAACTTGCTTTTATCTCTCCATTAACCAAAAAGCTCCTTGTTGCTTGCAATAGATATTGGCATATATTTCTTGTTCTCGTACCTACAGAAGAAAAGAAGGATCATTTTGTATTTCTTTTTTACTCTTTGAAAAACATTGCATTGATGTCAAATTTAGCGCCTTTGAATGAATGAGATTTAATTGTTGTTAATAATCACTATCCGTGGAGAGCAAATGTTTTGAGAATGATGAGGGCAGTGAATGTACAAGTGTGTTTTACACAATTAATGTATGTATGGATTGTGTTAAGAGTTATATGAACCCCTAATAAAACGATTAAAAATAATAATTATTATATTACTTATTGAAAACCACTTCTTTCAATTTTATTCTATTGCTCAGAGATCATTACTATAGAAATATTGTTATTTGCATTATTGATACAGTTTTTGAAGTGATAAATTCTTTCTAACCAGGAGTTCTTTCTTTGGCTTCAAGCTTGCAGATCAGTTTTGTAATGCCATTGGAGTATTGCAGCAGTGTGGTCCTCCTGCCTCTTTCAGTAACATTCAGACAGCAATTAACAAAGATCAGCCAGCCAACCCTACAGAAGGTAAATTGGTTGTGTTTGCTTTGTTTGGTTTCATTGACAAAATTTTCTGTTTGATTCTGTTTCTAGCAATACTTTAACTCAGTTCAATATAGTTTTTTTTCTAGAAATGTTTGAGAATATTACTGTAAGTTTTATTTGTCATAAAGGTTAATTAAGTTAATTCACATAATATCTTCTAATTCTGTTCATTTGGAATATCATATTGTCATTCATTTTTAGGAGGTCTGGTAGAATTTAGCTGCATTTACTTGCGGGACCTTAAGAAATCATTAGAAGCCTGATTCAGAAAATGTTATATGATGTTTTCTGTTTTCTTAATTTTTCTCTAGAATATGCCCAGCTTTTTGCAGCGCTGATTGCGAGAACCGCCAAAGATATAGATGTTCTGATAGATTCCTTACCCAGTGAAGAATCCACAGCTGCTCTGCAGGTAAAAACCTCTTTCCTCTGAGAGTGTTAGTAGTAGTAGAAAATTGTGAGTTAGAGGAGATAGATTTAATACTTTCTGTGATAGATTTAATAATTTCTGTTGAATTCAAAGTTACTTTAAGATTAAATTTAAAAATGAGTTTTATTGTGATGAGGGTATGTCAAAAAAGGTTGCTATTAGGATTCCAGTTCATACACACACGAGTTTGGTCTACACAAAATGTGTTTAAACGCGTCTCCGAGATCAGTTGATGGCTGCAGGCAGGTTTCTCAGTAATGTACTTGTCTTAGTCTAATTAGAGTGCTTGCAAAAAAGTCCAAACAGTGCCTTCCAGGGGGATCTGCTGCCAGTTCAGTCCAAGACAGAGAAGTCAGTTCAGAAGGTAATGAGACTGTTGATTCCAAGGGGTAAATTTTCACAAAGGACAAGGAAAATCTTGAGGACTTAGTAGGAATGTGTCTTACGAAAATGGAAAACTACATTCGTGAGAAAAAGGTAATTGCACAGGAACTTTTCCATTGTGACAGTTCTTTTGTTCTTTGTTCAGGAGTACTAAGGGATGGATGTCCTACAGGGGGATACTTACTCTTTCTACCCTACAGCCCTGATCTTGTCCCTTTATACTTTTTGTTGCCAAATACATCATTTAAAAGAAGTGTGAGTGTCTTGATACCAAAACTCATTTTGATGAGGTTTAAATCAAAGAGCACAGATTTCTTCTGGAAAGTGTTACAGAGATAGGAGCACTATCTTCAGGCGTATATAGAACTAGAGGATGTGTTGAGAAACAATAGCTCGCATTTTGATATTTTTGATTGATAAAGGTTTATATAAATTTATAGTAATATTTTTTATGTATATAAGGTGGCTTTAAAAACTTTATGGAAGGATGCTGTTGCCCTTTAATTCCACTTTTTCAAATACTTTCTGAAGCACCTTCATATGTATATATATTTGTGTATGCATACTAATATATGGACAGGCTTCAAAAACTCATGGACAGAGGAAAGATCTAGGAAGCAGTGCTATGGATAGAGCAATAAACATAGGTGTGTACATATATAAATATATTAATTCATGAAAATAGAGGTTTTGGCCTATATACATATATTTATGTGGCAACACATTGAAGAAGTGGGACGTTGGGTCTTTGCTCAAGCCCTCCCTCAAAACAAGAACACTTTGTTCTAATAACCTGGCATTCTGTCATATTCACCCTCCCAACAATTGCTGAAGACAAAATGGTTGTATAAGCAAATGTGGTGAAGAGAGCTGATGGTGCTTGGCTATCAAAAGATACAGCATCTGAGGTCTAAAGGCTTGAAGTTTAACAAGTGGTCATCTAGCAGAGAAGCAACAAGTCCACATGGAAGAAGCACACCTGCCTGTGTGATCATGAGGTGTTGATAGGATCAGGTAATAGGCTAAACAAATGAACAAAAAAACATTATTGAGAACAAGGGGTTTTGGAGCAGAGACCCTAAACTCATCTGTAGACAGTAGGACATCCCCTCACAGAAGGGTCACAAGTAACGGATGAGTCAATCAGGGCTCAGTATAGCACCGATGAAACAGTATTCCTCTGGTTTTTTGATTCCTCTGGTTCTTGTGTGTTTTGTGTGAAACACACTAAAATTCCTCTGGTTTTTTGCCCACTATCAAGACCCCAGTCCTGCCTTTAAATTCTGTGTAGTACCGGAGCATGTACACAGGTATTGATAAGAGCTCACAACACACAGAATCCAGGTCAGATAAACCCCTCAGGAACAGAAATGGGAGTATTGATA